CGGCGGGGCGAAGCCCTCCTCCTGCTCGGCATCGCCGTGCGGAGCCCAGGCGTATGGTGAGCCCTCGCTCGGGGAGAACAACGGGGCTGAGGGGCGGCTGGGCGGGAGGCAACGGTGGTCCCCGAGATGTGGGGAGCGAGGGGGTTCATCCCCCTCGGGGATTGCCACCCTCTGCGGCTCTGCTCTGTGGTGGGAGAGTTGGGGGAGGAAGCAAGACCGAGTGGTGGGGAGGGAGAGGCAGGAGCCCGGGGAGAAAGGGATGGAGAGGAGGGGGGAATGCAAAGACAGGGAGAGCCCCAGGAAGCAGCACCACTGGCCAGGAGCCACCCAGCAGATGGGGGGTTCATCCCCCGGCACAGCCCCCCGAGAGGAGGTCCCACCCAGATGTGCTGGGAACTTTTTAGCTTTGGGAGGAGGCTCGGCCGAGGTGGTCGCGGGAAGCAGATTCAGGGTGGGGGGAAAACACAAGGGGTTCTGTTCTTGGCCCTGGGTGGCCTCGCCGGGGTCAGGCGGGGGCAAGGAGACGCTGTCTGAGCTCCAGGAGCCTGCTGGGGAGCGATGCTGCTGAAGGGGGGGTGAGCACCCCCTGCCTTGCATGCGCGGGGGGGCAAGGGGCTGCACCCAGAGTAGCATGGGGACAAGAGCAAGCAGAGGCCTGTGCTTGCTGGATCCGCTCCAGCGGGTACCTTGGGGTGCAGCATTTCGGGGCTCATCCTCCCCGTTTGGGCTATAATTCCCTCTTTGTTGTGTGCTGCAATACATGCCGGAGTGGGGCTGGACAGATCCATTTTATTAAGCTGATCAGAGAGAGCAGAGATGGAAGAAAACCTGTTAGATCCCAACTCCCTTATCCCCCTTCGTTAATGCCTGCTAATTCACATCGGTGTGGCTCCTACCGCCTCATCCAGCCTGGCTTTAAACCTTTGCAGCGACAGGTCTTTCATCACTTCCCGGGGGAGGCTGTTGCACGACTGTGAGATTTAATAACAACACAAATACCCTGAGCTCTGACATAACCCTTAACAGCCAGGGATCTCCCAGGACTTCACAAAGGAGAGCAGCTCTCTTTTCATCGGGGGTGGCGTGGGGGGGTGGGAAAGGAACAGAAAAAATGAAATTATTTGCCTGCTGTCACCCCAAAATTAGCAGCAGAGCTGGGAATCAAGCCCAGGTCTCCTAAGTCCTCGTCTGGTGGTGTAACTACTATGTTTTGAGCTAGTCTGATCTGTCTAATCCCCTTGAATCACTTGAGACCAGCTAAGCTACCTTGTAGGTCATATTTTTGATCCATTTTTTGCTGATTTTTGTTCATGGGGTGGGCATTCAGTTCAGCTGCCTGGATCATGTCTTGGGAACTGGGCTTTGTCCACCGAAGACATCATGCGAGGGCTCTTGCAGAGAAGACATCTGGTGCCCCAGCTGAGCTGTTGTGTATTTAAGGCCAGGAGTAGCACATCTGCAGCATTATTATCATAGATTACAAAATAATTGCAGGGCAACTGATCAAGCCTAGCCCGAAATGGCTCCAGCATTAACGTCTTTCTTAAATGGGAGCCCTGCACAAAGCAAATTCCCAGTTAAGAGATGAGGGTCTGTCAGAACCAGCCTCTTGGGCATTTCAAAGTGACTGGATGCATCTTCTTTTTCATACAGCTCAAAACTAGGTTTCTGACCTTTTTTGGTCAACAAAAATCCCACGAGACTTCTCATTAGGGAAGGGAGTTCCTCTTCTGGTTTCCTTCAGCGAGTCAGTCCTGTGAGCCTACAACTACCCCCTCCAGTCCTACATAACGATGCAGGTTTTCTTTTTCTTTTCATCCATCCTCAGCTTTTGCAGGGTTGTTGTCCATTGTCTGGCATCTGCCATGTTCCCCCAGAGGTGTCTGTCTTTCACTTTCTGGTTAAGTCGTTTTTATCTGCCATCTGGGGGGTGTTGCAGAGCTTACCTAGCTGTTAGCAAAAGCTCTGGGATGGAAAACATTAAATCTGGGTGAAGGGATTATTGCAATCAATATTAAGCACACTTTAGACATATTTCTCACTCCTCTGGTGTGCCGGTAACCCTCTCCATATGGCCAGCTCAAGGGTTTTCAGACACAAGGAACCTCCGCAAGTGCTTCTCCAGGGCTTGCTTCTCCCAGCACACTCATTGCTCCACCAAAATCCTGTGCCCTTGGAGAGCCCCAGATCCTATACCGGGCTGTCTGGCATCTTGGATCCTAAAAGGGAGGGTGGAACTGAAGGCTGAAAATAAACAGCACAGCTCAAAAAGAATGATCTTTTCAGAAATTTAACCTATTAATATGATTTTGGTGGGTTTTTTGCTTTGTGGGGTTATTTTTTTGGTTTTTCGATACAATCTGTGTTTGGACAGCAAACGCAGGAGGACACAGCAGCTCTTGCAGAGACCATGGGAAGTGGTTGTGCTGTGTTTTGGGGTGATTTGGAACAGAAATCCCTCCTGCTCTGGCTGTGTCTGCAGATGGTGAAACAGCAGAAGCTCTCAGGAGGGGCCCTCACTGCTCAAGAGATGGGCTAATCCACACAGGAAACGCCAGTCCAAAGTCTGGTGTTTCACAGGTGATATTCCACGAGAGGAGATTAGCCAACATAACATTTACAGGTTATGTTTGGGGAAGGAGGAAATTACAGGAAATTACAGGTCCATTAATGGGAGTACAATAAAAGGTGAGTTTCTAGAATAGTTTTGGAAGAGTAATCAAAGACATGGTGTTGGGAAGCAGAATAATGCAGTGTGGTTTAAACACAGATCATGTCAAGTTGGCTCAGTGTTTTCCTTCGATATGATAACTGACTTTTGAAACAACAGGACCTCAGGAATCTGGATTTAAGGAACACACTTGTTCCAGTGCCCCAAAGAAATGATTATTTTAGGTGGAGACAGGAAAGAGGATAGGGAAGAGACAGCAAAATGGAAGGAGGACACTTGGATCCTTCCACAAGGAGAGATCTAGGGACTGAACTTGTTAACTAACGTCTCTTTAGAAGTCAGGAGATCTGCCCATGGGGGGAAAAAAACAGATCAGCAAACAGGAACATGAGACTGGTGGCTAAAGTAGAGTTGTGCCAGAGCAGGCACCTGGGGAGGTGCATCATGAAGCTGCTGTAGCCTGGAGGGACCTCCGCAAGTGGAGGGCACTGAAGAAGAAAGAGCATCTTGGATTTTTGGCAGAGGAAGAGCACATCAGGCCAAATATTTTCAGCAGTGCCAGAGAATTATTCGTGCCAGAACACAAAGGTCTGACATCTCCTTTGGTGTGATGCATCCAGGCCAGCTCACGTACTTGCAACAGGCCACCAAGGTGGCCGTAGGAACAGAGAACCTGCCTTGTGAGAACAGATGAAAAGAAATTGGCTTCTCCTGCTAAAAAAGACTGATAAGCAATGTGATTGCTCCTTATGAATCCCTCCGATAGGCAAATATTATGGTGGGAGAAGAACTAGGAACGTAATGCCAGTATAACAGTAGATGGATATATGTTTATGCAGGAAAACAGAAGGTGAGGTTTCCAGGTTTATGTAAGTGACTATGGAAAAACTGAAAAGGGGAGGGAAGGAGCATGAACTGCCATTTGCCTATCGTGCTTGTTTGCACCAGGTTTATATTGCACTTAATTAGTACAGTGATGCAGAGCTTCCAAGTTTTTCTCCCAGTGAAGCAGCTTTGCCTAACGCCCAACCTGAATCTCCCAACCTGTAATTTTTGGCTACTGCTGCTTGCTCTGTCATCCAGCACTGCTGAGAAGGATTTGTCTCTGCCTGGAAAAAAGGGTCCTCCCAGCAGGCTTTCTGCTCTAGTTGTCTGCTCCATCTGAGCTCCTAGCAAGACAGGAGATCCCAGGGAGCAGAGACTCCCTTCAGACCATGATTTTTAATGGATGCCATTAAACATAGCCACAGTCCCAGGAAAGGGCTGCTCTGTGCTTCAGTTTCTGCTTCTGGAATACGGATGAATCCCATCAGCATCCTCCTGCCCCCTTGCTGAGAGGCAGGGGCTGGGGACCAGCCCAGTCCCCCTTGGCCCTGATCCTTCCCGGGCCGTGCACCTCCTCCTCAGGGGAGGCAAGCTGAGGCAGGGACGAAGGTGGGAGAGCAGAGCGGGTGGGCAGGGGCTTCCCTCGGGCTCCCTCCTCGCTTGTGCGGGTCCTCCATTGTTGCCCTGACAAAGGCAGCCCTGTTCCTCCCCACAACTATTCCTTGTCAGCATCCCTCAACATTTCGGCTGCAGATTTCCTGCCCACTGGCAGCCTTTCAAGAGGCAGCCCGGGCTCAGAACGTGGATGGAAAACGGATTAGTGGGGCAGGCTGGTGGAAGGTAGCTCTGTGCAGTGGGGTGCAGGCAGGGACAGGTCCCTGTGGTGGGGCTGCTCTCCAGAAACCTGATGAACAGAGTAGTGGTGTCTGCAGAATTGGTCTGGCTGCTCCTCCCTGGAGTCCAACCTGTGTCAAGCCAGCAGGGACCTGCCCTGGGTCCCAAATACTGGTGAGGTCAAGTGGTTGGCTCAAAGCCACACAAGGAGCCAAGATCTGAAGCTGAGTTAAAGTCTTCCATGGCTAGAGCTTCCGTCACCCCCCACGAACTGCATCTTGCTGTCTCTTTCTACACTTGAGAAGCTGAAGCAGCACTGGGGACTCTGTGCCCCCTTCCCTGGCGGTGCTGAGCCCGGTTCTGGTGCTGGCCCCTTGGACGCTGACTCTGCACCACACTTTGTTTCATGGTGTGGACTGGCTGT